TTAAATAAGTACAATTTAAAATAGCAGATAAAAAGTTTTAATTATGATTAAAATATTAAATGTACTTAACAACTGATTTAAGTGATTTGGTGTAAAAGAAAAATTATCAAGACAATTGGAGAAAAGAAAATTGTTATTCATAGAATTTAAAATCGTAACTCTTGAAAAATGATTTTCACTTAATGAAGGATGTCGACTATTAAGACAGAAACTAGACTTATGTATTAGGAGTCAAAACTAGTTTCTTACTTTGTTTCTCAGCCAGTATGGTATATTTTTAATTATTATATTACTGTAAATGGTAAAAACCTTAAATTACAAATTATATAAAAATTTTATATACTTACAATAAAAAACAAAAGGCAAACAGTTAGACGCGTAGCATTAAAGTCTTGTTTGGAATATTAAGGAGTGGCTCAGGAGATCGTTCATAAGTTTATAGAAATAGAATCTTTATTTTTCAAAATTTTTTATTTTAAATTAAGCAATAATGTTTTTAAAACTCTTTTTTTTTTTATAAGGATAATAGTTAGAAAATTAGTTTGAATTAATTGTTAACAACTGAGAATTCAATCCCAGATCGAGTAAACATTCCACCTCTCAAATAAGGCGCGCGGTCATCTGGTCGTTTCGGTAGAATTCAAGACTGTGGTAGAACTCGAAACTTCAACCACCTCACCCAAACACTTAAAATTTAAGATCAAACCATTGGATTTAAAGTTTCGATTCGTTTCTAAAACTTATTTTATCTCTATGTTTTATTATTGAAACACAATTTTTTTTTTTTTTGTAAAAAAATTACTATCATTTAAGCCGTTACTCTGTTTTTCCACCTTGAATTTAATCCCATCGCCTGCGACCCATAATCTGTAGGTCCAGCCGTAAGATTTACAGTCTATGTGTTGGGCTACAAGGGAGAAAATAAAATGGCATTAAAATCAGAAATGGATGAATCCCATTTTTCAACCAAGTCTTTTTGTGCCATTTAATTACGCATTTATGTCTGAAAATTCAATAACAAACCTAACACCGTAACAGTAGGCCACACCTCCCTCTCCCATCGGGCAATCAATCCAACGTGCTCGGGGATGAAGCTAAACTGCACACCAAAATATTTTCTATACATGGGGTAATTAAAGCAACGGTTTTAAATATATATATTTATTGTTTTATTTATTATTAATTTATATAAAAATTATAAAAATAAATTTTATTTTCAATATTAATGTTCTATAAAATGATTTAATTAAATAATTAATAAAAATAAAATTAA